AAAAGCAAAGTGCTTTATAATAAAAAATATGTCTTGTGATTTTTCTTGAGAGCTGGCTTTAGGATACAGTTTGTATTTCAGGTTATCAGCTTTAGGGGGGGTTTGAACCCCAAAACCCACCCCTTGTGTGCGCTAATGCATACATAAATATATGAAAGAATGCACTCAGGCGACGCCTCTAGCCATTGTGTGTCACAGATATAAATTATCGATGGAAATTTTTTTTTCATCCCTCCCCAAAGCCAAATCCTGGCTACGCCACTGGACCAAACCAATTTTTTTAAGAGATTCAGTCATAGGTAAAAAAGTGATTTCTGCGTTTTTCGAAGTTAGCCTCCGAAATCGAGATATGTGTCTTCGAAGCTCGAAATAGGACCTTTGGTAAAAAATTATATTTAATTATTGCATATAAATAACTAAAAACCTAAAAATATAGACGTGTCCTCCTTTTGCTCTTATTTAAATGGTGTATGTACAAGCTGTGTGGAGTAGCCGATACAAACATATATTCAGGCTTATAAGCCTGTAATTATACATTTTTCTACATTTAATTTGAAGTAGTAGAAGATTAAAAGTAGTATATAATTAATACCCTTTCTACTACTTTAAAATGCGTGACCGGAATAGACCTGCCGAAAAAGTGAGGTTAAGCAACTGACAACACCTTGTTATTATTCCACCATGGGTTTTGCCTTGTTATGTTTTTATCATGGGGGGTTCTGTGATAAAGAATTGTTCATTCAACTCAGCTCTACTCAATGGCAACGAAATCTGCTCGAATGTATTCTCCAAATTCCACATTTATAGCAGCTGCCAACTTATAGACTTATTCGAAATATCCACAAACGTAATAATAGGTCCCCCCTCCCTCCCCTATATACACCACTCAAGGTTCCAGATAATTCTTGCAACACACATGTGGTATAAAAATTTCAATATCAAAATTGTGGTTTACCGCTGCTAGACAGTAGTATGAGAGTAAGAGTAACACACCTGTGGTATAGAATGTAGTATTAATATCATACTACGATGTGTGCATAAGCTATTTCAATTTATTAACACCTACCTACAGTCTACCATTTAGCACAAAGGACAAGCTGTTTGTGAGTGCTTGGGCTTCTTTATTGGCGCTATAACCGCTTAAACGATTTTAGCCTAGGAGATCTCCGCCTGGTCTTTCCAAAGCAGATAACACCTCTTCCTCTTCAGGGCTGAAATATTATCATCCATTCCTGCGACATGTCCTAGCCCCTGTATTTTAATTATGACGATGTCGTTTTGAAGCTTCATCGTCTCCGGCACTCGCTATAAGAAACGCGCGAAAGGTCCATAAATTTTACGGAGTATATTTCATTTCTCGAAGACTCCAAGGAGCGCCTCCTCAGATGATGCTATCGCCACCGCTTCTAAGCCATTGGCCATTATCGATAGCAAAAGTACTTAGAACTCGTTTCTCAAAAAGATCTACAGTACCCGATTTTTAAAAGTATCGATACTGAGAATTCCAGAGTACACAGCACTCACAAAAAAGCTTGGAAGTACTCACAACTTAAAAGAACCCAAAAGTAGTCAATACTCCAAAATACTCTGTTCCAATCATCACTTTGATACATGTACTCAGGATCGATTCAAGTACCCAGTATTAAGTGTCGAATAGATACTTAAAAGTACTGAGTTCTATATACATTTACCGGCTTTCAGAAATGACTGATACCAAAGAACTCGATACCCAAAAGTACTCGATGCTTCCCAACACTACCATAGATATGTTGTATATTATTCAGAGTGATTTTCGTTCGTCGAATGAGGACTTTACTGCTCAATTGTCTACTCAGCCCAATGTAGCATTTGTAGGCAAACACTTTTATTCGTTGTATTTGAAGGCAAATATTTTATTGGTCTTAGCGCTGGTTCACAAGAAGACGATATCCTTTACTTTCCGAAAATACAACTGCCAACAGTGGGTGCCTAGCCGGAGGTGCCTGACTGCCTCTGACTTTGGAGTGCTTGCACTGGTCTCCAACAAAATACGCAAAATCTTATGATTGAGATGGCGATGAGCCCTCCACTCTACATAGAGGCTTTAATGTAATTAGGTGTTATTCTATTCTGCGTTCATATGAGCTTAAAAAAGTCTTCCAAAGCACTCGGCCTTCTCTCCGAATTCCACTTCTAACTGTGTACATAGTACTGGCATACATGTGTACATATGTACTTACTTTAATCCAATTCCATTACAATGAATTGCATTCCCATCTTAACCGCAGCAAGCACATCAGTCTAAGGTTCAACTGTAGTGACTCCGCGCTAATGAAATTGACGTGCGTGCATTTATTTTCTTTATGTATTTCGTATCAAAGATCGGAAACGTGCCAGCAAGAAAAACAAACATCTACGCCAAAACCAAAGAAGCAAAACAATCAAGCAACAACATAAATGAAAATAAAAGCAAATAATAAAACAAGTGTATAAATACGTTAAAAAATTATACGATGTAATAAAAAAAAATAGCAAATCCAAACCAGACTATCAAGTTAAACAGAGAGGCTAAGAAGAAGAAATTATAGAGTGCAGTCAAGAATGATAGAATACAAGATTGCGCCGATCAGAGAGGATTTTTGAGAATAACTTTTGTGTGACGTCACACTGGTGCAATTGCGAGAGAGAAATGCCAAAACGTGAGCAAGAATGGAAGAAGAAGAAAAAATGTTGCAAGGGAAACGTAAACAAGTTGCATCAGTGTGACGTCATGCAAACAACGATTCTGTCAAATTCGTTAAGAGAGGAATAGCGGTCCGAGATCGGCGCAACCTTTGTATTCTCTCAATCGTGGAGTGCAGTAGTTGGTTATATGTATGTACTATTTACATACATATTTATGCCTGCTAACTATCTAGTGTGTGCTACTAGAAAGGCTGGACACGAGATCGCCTGGCTAACTAACTAAATCACACACACACGCAGTGAACGCACATAAATACATAAGTACTTACATACATACATATGTACGTGTTGTTATTAGTTCGCTAACGGCTCACGACTGGCGCATTGGTCCGCTTGGGAAAGCATTTGCACTGGCGATTTCATGCACAATGCAGAAAAATTGCCGCTGTTACACTCGACATTCATTCATTACGATGCAATGCTGCAACAACAGCTCGAAATCTATTGCAATGCGATGCGACAACGAGCGGTTGCGGCTGCTGGCTCTTGGTTGCATGCCTTGGTTGACTGCTTGCTCGTTTGTGATGAAAATTGAAACAATTTCCGATGTCACTCTCACTTTTTATATGCATAGTAGAGCAGCAGTAAAAAGGCACAAAAACACGCACACACACACACGCAAGTGAGGAAAATTTGCAAAAAAAAATGTATGATCAAGCGCCGGCCAAGCGGTTACAACACTTGTCCGCGCTGGAAAGTGCATCAACGACAGCAATGGTAATGGTAACGACAGTGTTGCCCGCATACTTATGTTGCAGCAGTGACATCGACGACAAAATCATATCGCGTATTTTACCACCAGCTGCCACAAGCTGTCGCTTGGCTGTTCGCATTTAAGTTTTCAACGTTTTTCTTCGCTCAGAGTTTTATTTTAGCCTCGTTTTAATCTTACTTTACTTTATTAATGTTAGACTGTCGCGCGACGCTTCCATTTTTGGGTAGTTAACGCTGGCGGTTTCAAATTGCCTGCAAGCGGCAAGACGCCACACGTGTGCGCGATATTAGTGGTATTCATCTAAACCGATAAGTTTATCAATCAGATAATCTTATAAGTTTAAGCACTGCGTTACATGAACGCCCCATACTCTCTTTACGTTTACACTTTATAAGTCAGCTGTTTTGGGATGGGCATCAAGACATCGATGTTTTTTCGATAAAATGCATCATATGGTGACATCGATGTTCAATCGATATTTTAGTATATAAATCCATGTTTTTTAAGGCATGTAATGTTTTTGTTTAATACAATGGTAGCTTTTTGGCATAATTTTCAATGGGATATCTGTGAAAAAGCTGCAACTAACTTCAGGGTAGCTTAAAAGCGATGTTTTTTCGATAAAATGCATCATATGGTGACATCGATATTCAATCGATATTTTAGTATATAAATCCATGTTTTTTAAGGCATGTAATGTTTTTTTTTTTAATACAATGGTAGCTTTTTGGCATAATTTTCAATGGGGTATCTGTGAAAAAGCTGCAACTAACTTCAGGGTAGCTTAAAAACATCGATGCTTCGAAAATTTCGAAGCCTTCAAAATACATCAATGCACAGACACAATACATCGAGTATTTATAAAACATCGATGTATGTATATCGTCCACCGCTATTTTGATTCATATATTTTGCTATCTATATAGTTTGCTATTTTAATTCATATAAAGAAACAGATATGCCGAAAATAAGCGCAAAACGTAAGCTTAAAAAACTTTACCAGGAGATCTTCGTGTATGATTTGTTAACGTTGGAAATTTGCGATGAAATTGATGGTAAGTAATGTTTGATTTTTTGCTTTGATATTTACTTAAAAAATCCCTTTGTTCTCTGATTAATCATTTGCAGAAAATAAACTAAAAAGGGAAGACGAAATTTGGGAAGACTTCACGTTATCAATGTGCGTTTTGGGACAAATTCGGTATGGGTGTCCATTTATTCACCATTCGGCTCCCAAGTCCGTGCACTTCACCCAAAATATTTTGTCAAACCTCGACGATGATAGATTTCGACAAATTGCTCGAGTGATCAAGCCCTCATTTGACGCGATATTAGAATTAATAAAAAACGATGAAATTTTCAATGGTCCACGTTCTTGCAAGCAATTTTCTGTAGAAGCACAACTCATAATTGTTTTGTATCGATTGGGTTCAAGTGGAGAAGGAGCATCAATAAGCAAAATTGCAAGGCTGTTTGGTGTAAGTGACGGCGGAGTAATACCGGCGAGTAAAACACAATTTAGAATTTCTTGTTCTAAATTCATATTTCCATTATGTAGAATATGACTAATAGAGTATTCCACGCGATTCTGAAATTAAATACCAAATTTTTGTACTGGCCGGACGCTGCCGAACGTAAGATCTTAGCCGCAGAAACCTTTGAAGAGCTACCACATTGTGTTGGTTATGTTGATGACACTGAAGTTAAATTAGCCGAAAAACCGTCTGAAGATTTAGAATCTTATTTCTCGCGAAAACATATGTACTCGTTAAAAGCTCAAGCAATCTGCGACTATAGGCTACGTATACGACATTTGGTTCTGGGATATCCAGGCAGTGTACACGACGCCAGAATTTACAACAATCGTAGCTTGACTACCAGAACAACACAAATGCTCACAGGGGCAGAATGGTTAGCGGGTGATAGTGCTTATAAATTAAGCAGCACTCTTATAACTCCCTTCCGAAGTAATTCAACGGACGGCAATGTGCAGCAGCGAAATTCGTTCAACAAAACGTTTAGCAAGTATCGTATAAGAATTGAACATTGCTTCGGTTTATTAAAAGAACGCTTTAATAGTTTGAAAGAATTAAAGTTGCATATTAAAAATGATTCTTCAGTTAAAATGGCTTGTCGATGGATACTGGTTTGCGCAGTTCTACACAATATTTTAATAGTTCAAAGAGACGAGAGTTTTGAAGTAGCAGAAGAAAATGAATATGTCGACAGTGAAGACGGATATGTCAACAATGAAGACGAACCGGAAAATCATGTCAGTTCTCATGACGGTGAAGCCAAACGACGTGCGCTGCGGTCAATAATATTACAAGCTCATTCTTAAGACAATATTTCGAACAAATTTTGCTTCGCGTCTTCTTTTCTTCGCTTTCTGAGATTCAATAGCACTTGTATAAAGAAGTTAAACATTGGTGCTGAAGGCGGCTATCAAATTTATTACAATAAAACTAAGTAATTTTTATTGAAATATGCATACATATATACTTATGTAATAAACGTTTAAACAACAAAGAAAGTGTTTAAAAACTCGTTGCATTAAAATTCATTTTGCCATGTAAAAATTTTAAAGTCTGTATATAAATTCAGGCCAGAAGGGTCCTAGTATACAGTAACTCACACAGCTTTTCACATACACAGTGAGTTTTTAATATTTACAACGTTTTTCAAGATAAAATATTTTGTTAGTTTTTTATAAAAACGAAAACCATGCAAATCAGAATTTAAAATTCTATAAAAAATTTAAATCACCGTTTGTTCCAGTCACTGTACGTGTATATATACATACAGTGATGGAAAAATAAGTAGGGACACGATATTTAAACAAATTGTTCCTATTTTTTATGTTTATTTAATATTTATTATTTTTTTAAAAAAGTATAGCTCATTATCTAACAAAAACCATGTAAATTCATATTTTAAACTGTGAAAAAATTATAAAAATTGTGCAAAATTGCATCCAAATTTTCAACTTTTTAATCAGATTTTTTAGAATTATTTTGAAAAATTTGTTTAAATGTCGTGTCCCTATTTTTTCCACCACTGTATGTACAAGCCCTACGCGTAGGGAAATAGATTCATTCCATAGCCAATAAAATTATTTAGTAGATAACATTCAAAATTGTTTAAAGAACTGAAAATAAAAATGTTTGCATATAAGTGAACTATACTTCAAAAACTGATTTTAGTTTAAAAACACTTCAGAACTAAAAAAAATATGTGAAAAAGCACCTTAGCGTAAATTTTTTGCGCATTCTAGTTCGTATTTTTTTATTTTTTCTTCACTTTCTAACCTTAGCTTTTCAATTTGCAATCTTTCTTCTCTTTGCATTTCGAGCTCAAGCTTTCTTCGCTCAAATTGGTTTTCAATTTCAAGTTTTTTTAGTTCGACTTGATTTTTTTCTTTTTCTTTTTCAAGTTCAACCTTTTGAAGTTCCACTTCTAATTTCTTTTCTTGAATAACTATTAAGTTTTCCATTGGATTTGAATTGCGTTTCCTTCTCTTACTTTTCGGTTGCGTGGAATTCAAGCTACTTAGTGGCGTCGAAATTTCTGGAGTATAGGTTGGAGTTGTGTTTGGAGTCACAAGGACGTAGTCCGGCTCCACTTCCACAAATTGTTCATCTAAATTTGGATCGAGATGTTCAACTAAATATTCAACATCATCCTCACTTTCGTAAATGAATGGTGTGGTAACATTTTTTCGTTGCCCAAAGATATCAGTTAGTAAATCAAAGTGTGGAAATAAGGTATTAATATACTCCTTAACACTTTTTTCATCGCTAGTAGCCAAAATACCAGATCCCGTCCTATTCCGCCAGCTTACAGCAGATACGTATGATGATTTCAGGTATCTCATCTTACATTTTAAGGACATCCATTCTACTTTTTCGAGGCTGGGTACAGATAACTTAATTTTGTTATAAAAACCTTCAGCGGTCGGTTTCTACAAAACAAAAATATAGAATATTTTGTATATTTTACTATTCTATCACAGACTTCAAACGACTCCGGCCGTTCCTTTACGGCGTTGGCAATAGTTTGTATCAAACCGATTGTTTCTCCCTCTGTCCAACGATGAGATGGGTTTGTCCTCTTCCTCTTGCATTTAGGCTTATTATTCTAAAACATTTTTATTTAAAATAAAGCTGGAACAAATCTGTATTTAAACTAAATCACCTACCTCATCCATTTTTTGCTGTCAAGTGGACCACACCAATACTGGGCTATTGGTACGATAAAACAAACTTTCAAGGATTCTTTATAATGCCAGATTACCTATCGCATAGCTCCAAATGATCATACATACACAAATTTAATAAATCGAAGGACTTTGAGTTTATTTTGTTAAAAAACTAGTAAAAATATCGCTTGCTGCGTTTTTGCTTTTTGTTCACCTTCTTCTTTAGAAATCAGCTGTCAATGCGACAGAGTTGCATTGGCTCCAGTTTATTAAGTTTATTCGGTGAAATCGCTGGATAAATTTATCAGAAATGTGTAAACGAGTTTCCATACAAATTTTGACAGTTATTTTATAAGGTTTACACAATTATAAGTTTATACGGTTTATAAGGCATTTATACGGTTTGATGAATACCCTTATTGTATATAACTATGAATGTGCGACGCTTGAATCCTGTTCGCTAACGCTATCAGCCGACTTTGCGCGCGGACATATGTTATCTTTGCTCTATGCGAGCAACACACACACATATGCGCGCTAGTTCACATTTGCAGCTTCTCTATCACTGCCGCCGCAGCACCTTACACTGTCACTGCCGCTATGAGTTGGTCGGTTGGTGGCCCGGTAGCCCTGATGTAACAAGGTTTAATTTTCCATTTCAGTACGTTGAGTGTTTTTCTTAGACTTACTCCCGTTTTTCATTGTTGCGGTTGATTATGCTATCGTCTGTTGTTGCTATCATAGCTGCGGATGCTTGCTTCATGGAGGTTGCCTTGGCGCGCATCGTAGTGCAATTGCAGTTGGACGACTTGTTGGTGTTTTTGTTTCTCTTATTTTTTAGTAGGTTGATACAGATGTTTTTTTTTTGCTGTAGCTGCTTGCACGCTTGTTTACTGGTGGGTTGCGTTAGTCGCTTTAAATGAATTAGAAATCGTTTTAACATGGCAACGGTAATTTTTGTTTTTATTTGTCTCGTTGATTTTTCTTAACTTTTCTCTGCTTGGCGTAATTTTACTTTTGCTTTCGCAGACCACATCTTGAAATTGTCAACAACACCGCAGCACATTCAATCTAGTTTCATGTGTATACGTACATACATATAAATGTGTATGTGCATATGTATTAGAGGTTTACGCCGACAGGCCTTGCGGCGGCGGCGTGGTCAACTTCAAAAAGAATCGGCGGCGGCGGCGACTTCGGCGCGTCTGGAAACGCCGGCGCTGCTGCCCATGATGTAGATTCCAAAGAGCCATGAGGCTACTAATCTTATCATGTCATCTCGTCTGCGTTAGGCATTCACTATGCCAATTCAGATTATAATTCTATTTAATTGATTCATTGAACTAGTTTTAAATTTAAATTACGATGGACGAACAGAGGAAGGTCTGAGGTATATATATACATACACAAATGGCTCTGTACCCCGCAGGGAAACCGGGGAATAGTGAATCAAATTTCTAGTTCCGTACTAGGTCTTTATCGCCAAAAAGGAACTAGTCCGATAGGAGCTAGATCTCCACCAGTCCAAAATCAGCAAAAAGGGGTACTTTTAAAAAAAAAAATTTTTTCAGTTTTTTTCACTAGAAATCTATATCTAAAGTGATGAATTTAGAACTGGTACGGAACTATAGGAAAAGAGATGCAGAACGAACTAGATCTTATTTGTCGAATTTAGAACTAAATCGGAACTATCGAAAAAGGAATGCAGCGGGGGGCTTGTTTTCTTTACATAGGTATGTGTTCCGCGGCTTCTTCGTTCAGATGCGCTTCTATTCTGCACTTCGCAGATGCTTTTTCATGCTTGGTAATACAAAAACAAAATTTGTGTTAACATTTCAACATCTTGGGACCGTCTGAAATCTAACAGCCCGCACCTCTGCAAACTCAGCTACAGCTAAAGGTATGTAAACGTACATTTCTTACAATCATTCAAACAAATTTAATTTCAAATTGAAAACACATTTCTTTCAAAATTTCTTTCTTTTCTTCGTCTGTCGATTTAAGAACTGGTTCGGAACTATAGAATTTAGGACTAGTTTAGAACTATCGAAAAAGTGTTGCAGCGGGGAGCAATTGACACTTCCTTGGACATCGCACAGGAAATGTATCTAACTATAAGCTAACTTTAAGTTGATTAGGAATGAGCTAAAAGTCACTTATTATCTGTATATTTTCTTTGACGAAAGCTAACTATATTTCCATGCCGATGGCTGCGAAATAGTCAAGGGTGGTTTACCTCTGCATTAGATGTAACTAACTACTTTTGAACATAAAATATCAATAGGAAAAACAAAATATTTTTTTTTTTTTAATATTTTATTTTTATTTTTATTTACTTTATTACATTTCATAATTGTTTTCATATTCTGCTGTAGGTGGTCCATTATCCGAATTCGGTCAGACATAACTTCAAAATGATTATATGAAATTTCGATCTTCCTTTATCTTGTCCTCAATGCGTTTGTCCAAACGCGTTTAAAGAAAACAATCTCCTTCATTACTCCTGCACCGCCAAGCAATAAGATAAAATTTATATATTAAGCCCTAGTCTTGAAATTTTAACGCACGTTAAGCATACATAAAATTACATAAAATTAAAAGCGATAAAACTTGGGCTGATTCACTGGTACGGTATTGCACGAAGCCCAACTTGGATTCATTACTTAATTTCCATTTCATTCCTGCTTAATTTTATTATGTCTTACTTAAATTTTCAAAGGAATGTTCAACACAAATTTTGTTTTCATCAGCCGGATTTTATGGGTAACAAAATTTTAATTACAATATTTATACTTGCCGTGAGACATCGAATATTTGTTTCGATTTGACCATAACTTATTACATTTATGAGCATGACACATCCATAAATACAAACTCATATGTATGTACTTACATAAGCATATTTTACTTTTAAGCAAACTTTATTTGATCTTCCCACATTCCTCAGGCAAAACAAGTATTGTAGTATTTATTGTGCAATAATAGCTGAATTTTTTGTTAGCGAGCGACAAAAGAACGCTCAGCTCGAGTAAAATTTCTTTTTAGGTACTTAAGCAACCCTGTTGGTAGCTGGCAATGTTGGCATGTGATTAGTTCAACATGATTAAGACACAAAAAACAATTGAAATTAGTAATTATGCGAA